CATCCTTGGTGAGCTTAAACACAAAAAGGAAGCTTACAAGAAGTGGAATCTTGGACAGATGACTAGGGAGGAGTATAAATATATTGCTCGAGAATGCCGGGGAGTTATCAGGAAGGCGAAAGCGCAATTGGAATTGCAGCTGGCAAGAGATGTGAAGGGTAACAAGAAAAGTTTCTACAGGCATGTTAGCAATAAGAGGGTGATCAGAGAGGGTGTGGGACCCTTACTCGATGAGGGAAGTAACCTAGTGACAGATGATGTGGGAAAAGCTAAAGTACTCAATGATTTCTTTGCCTCTGTCTTCACGGACAAGGTCAGCTCCCAGACAAATGCACTAGGCAACATAGTATGGGAAAGAGGTAGACAGCCCTTGGTGGGGAAAGAACAAGTTAGGAACTATTTAGAAAAGCTAAGCATACACATATCCATGGGCCTGGATTTAATGCATTTGAGCATACTAAGGGAGTTGGCAAATGTAATTGCGGAGCCTTTGGCCATTATCTTTGAAAATTTGTGGCAATCGGGAGAGATCCCGGATGATTGGGAAAAGGCAAATGTTAAAAAAGGGAAGAAGGACAATCTAGGGAATGACAGACCAGTCAGCCTTACCTCAGTCCCTGGAAAAATCATGGAGGGGATCCTTAAGGAATCCATTTTGAAGCATTTGGAAGAGGGGGAAGTGATCAGGAATAGTCAGCATGGATTCACCAAGGGCAAGGTATGCCTCACCAATCTGATTTGCTTCTATGAAGAGGTAACTGGCTCTGTGGATATGGGAAAGTCAGTGGATATGATATACCTTGACTTTACCAAAGCTTTTGATATGGTTTCCCACAATATTCTTGTCAGCAAATTAAGGGAGTATGGATTGGATAAATGGACTTTAAGATGGATAGAAAGCTGACTAGGCCGTGTCCAGACTCAGGGGTTCTTTCGAAAAAAGTAGCCTTTTTTCGAAAGAACTTCCCCTGCGTCCAGACTCAAGCCGCGTTCTTTCGAAATTATTTCGAAAGAACGCGGCTTTTCTTTCGATGGCGGTAAACCTCAATTTACGAGGAAGAACGCCTTCTTTCGAAAGTTCCTCTTTCGAAAGAAGGCGTTCTTCAATGTAAAGAGGCCGTCTTCGAAAGAGAGCATCCAGACTTGCTGGGTGCTCTCTTTCGAAAAAGCGGATTTCTCTTTCGAAAGACCCGCCTGCAGTCTAGATGCGATCTTTCGAAAGAGCCTCTTTCGAAAGAAGCCTGCAGTCTAGACATAGCCTAAGCTAGGGGGAGAGGTAGATGCGCTGGAGGGCAGGGATAGGGTCCAGAATGACCGGGACAGATTAGAGGATTGAGCCAAAAGAAATCTGATGAGGTTCAACAAGGACAAGTGCAGAGTCCTGCACTTGGGACGGAAGAATCCCAAGCATTGTTACAGGATGGTGACTGAATGGCTAAGTAGCAGTTCTGCAGCAAAGATCCTGGGGACTGCAGTGGATGAGATGCCAACAGTATGCCCTTGTAGCCAAGAAGGCTAATGGCATATTGAGGTCCATTAGGAGAAGCATTGCCAACATATCCAGAAAAGTGATTATTCCCCTTTATTCGGCTCTGGTGAGGCCACATCTGGAATATTGTTTCCAGTTCTGGGCCCCCCACTATAGAAAGGATGTGGATGCATTGGAGAGGGTCCAGCGGAGGGCAACCAAAATGATTAGGGGGCTGGAGCACATGACCTATGAGGAGAGGCTGAGGAATTTGGGTTTCTTTAGTCTGCAGAAAAGAAGAGTGAGGGGGGATTTGATAGCAGCCTTCAACTTCCTGAAGGGAGATTCCAAAGAGGATGGAGAAAGGCTGTTCACAGTAGTGATGGGTGGCAGAACAAGGAGCAATGGTCTCAAGTTACAGTGGAGGAGGTCTAGGTTGGATATTAGGAAAAACTATTTCACTAGGAGGGTGGTGAAGCACTGGAATGGGTTATCTAGGAAGGTGGTGGAATCCCTATCCCTAGAGGTTTTTAAGTCTCAGCTTGAGAAAGCTCTGGCTGGGTTGATTTAATTGGGATTGGTCCTGCCTTGGGCAGGGGGCTGGACTTGATGACCTCCTGAGGTCTCTTCCAGCTCTATGATTCTATGATATGTTCTGGTACATGTGGTTGAAGTGCTGCTCAGGTTTGGTCTATCCACCCTTTCCATCATGGTGAAGGGGCAGCTAAGCCAAATTAGGGCAAGTTGTATTGCACCCTGATGCACGTGATCACAGCCACAGCACCACTCAGGTTAGCCCTGGTGTATGTGTATGTTTTTGTGTCCTGGCAGTGCATGCGCTCTCTTATTTTATTTTCATCTATATAGTATTTTTTTTGTAAAGAGTCCTGTACAATTAGTTCCTTGTGAAAAGGATCCTTATCCAAGAGCCAAAGCTATGTTTTGTGTGTAATTGAGTTGCCTTAGCCAAATCCAGAAATGTATACATTTTCTCTGTGTTATGCTTGCACATCCGTCTACTTTCATACTGTCTGTATAACTCTCTTATCTTTGACGTATGGGATAGAAAACTCACAATAAATAGTCTTCATAGGACAGAAGGCTATGTGTTCTTTGGTAGAATTCTAAAATATATGCTCAGGAATGAGAATGTGCATTATTTCTACACGAGTTTTGCTTCACATCCTTCAATATAGAGGGGGAAGTTTATGCAAGAGGTATGCTTGAAACTAACTTTTAGACTAAGATTCAGCTACACTTCTTCTTTACTGCAATAAACTATTTTATTTTATTTAAAATGCCAGAATTGGTTGATTAAAAATATTGTATTGTTCATAATCAAACTAGATCAATAAAGTAATAACAGCAAACACCAAAAGTTATGATTTGTATTGATGGACTGTACATTTATGGTGAAACTTTATTACTAGGATCTGTAGGAAAGCCATTGTTACAGAATGCAGTGAATAATATTTCTTTATTGAAGTTTCAGTTGTTATGTAATGATATTACTGAAATGTATAAGAAAAGGAATTACATTCAAATCAAACTCCATTGTATAATTACAGATGTTGTTGTTGTTTCAAGGAAATAAGGAGAATACTGTGCTTAGAGCAGAACATGGCATCCAGTTGATGTCTAGCATATATGTTGACAGTGAATAACAGGCATGATCAGCACTCAGCAAACATGCACCATCCTAGGCATCTTATTCTTTTCATCTCTTTGTTTATACCATTGCAATTCCTACCCAGCAGTGGGCCTGATTCTGGGCATTGAACCCACAATTCCCCCAGTAAGAGAGTGAAATGCAGATAACATAGCCCCTTTTGGGACTGGACTCTGATTAAATCCACTTGTATAAAGCCTCTAGTGTCTAGGTTTTTAACAGGGAGAGCAAGCAGAGTGTGAGATGGTGAAATCCTCTGTTCAGCCCAGGATCAGAGAGCTATGCAGCCTAATGTCATAGGAGTGGTATCCCTTTCATGCTAAATGTGGGCCAAATGACTCCAACTAAACATTTATTTGTATCTATTTTCTGCTATGGCATAGTTACAGATACACCTATGCTAAATTACTGGTACTGGTCTTGCAGAGAAGTTCACATAAAATAGTGTGTGCTCCTCACTAGCCTCCACATTTTATTTCCTGCCTGTAGAAGTGATTTTTAAAGCTGTGTGTGTTTATCAAGACAGAGGTTGAAGCTATAGACCACCCATGAAATGGCTGAAGAATGGTTACATAGCATTCATGCCATTAATTTAAAATGTGTTTAAAAATGTATAGGAAAAATCACCAGATAGTGCTCTTACATATATTCTTGCTGGCTTTTGTTAGCAACAAAGCACATTTGTAGTCTTTTCTGTTTTTTTTAGTTTTGTTATATGGTATTCCTTTGCGAGGAGGTGTAGCGAATAGCAGAGAGTTGGTTCCCTTCTTATTCACTATATTGGGATGTAATACTCGGGACAGAGTAGCTTCCTGGGAATAAGGTGTGGGGGTGAGTGCTAAGATTTCTGAAAGAGATGACTGCTTCTGTTCTGGACCTGGCATAGATGTGTCAACAGAATACATTCCACTGAAAATTTGCCAGGACTAGAGCAGTGCAAATTTTCTAGTTTACTGCCCATTTTAAAAAATCACTTTGGCTCAAGCAACACATTTTGTTTTACCTGAAATAAAAAATTTCAGTTCAATTTTAATTTTTTTTAAACATTTTGGCTGCGTCAAGACTGGCATGATTTTCTGCAAATGCTTTTAATGGAAAAGTTTTTCTGTTAAAAGCATTTGCGGAAAAGAGTGTCTAGATTGGCACGGACGTTTTTGCGGAAAAGCGTCCATGCCAATCTAAACGTGGTTTTGCGCAAGAAAGCCCTGATCGCCATTTTTGCCATCGGGGCTTTTTTGCGTGAAACAGTGTTTACCTGTCTACACTGGCCCTCTTGCGCAAAAGCATTTGCGCAAGCGGGCTTATCCCTGAGCAGGAGCATCATAGTATTTGTGGAAGAACACTGACAATCTTACATTAGATTGTCAGTGTTCTTGCACAAATTCAAGCAGCCAGAGTAGACAGCTGTCAAGGTTTTCTGCTTTTGCGCAAAAACTTGCCAATCTAGACGCAGCCTTTACGTTTTAAAATAAAATTAGAGAAAATTTAAAAACAAAATCTTTGGTTTTTATTTTCCCTATTTGTTTCCCCAATCAAAGCAATTCGGTGAAATTGACATGCTACCACCTGACTCAGAGGCAATGCTGGTGTCAGAAGAAAGAAAAAACAATATAAAGAAAATGAGACCTAGTATAAGGACTTTCTCCATTTTTCCTTCTATTTGTCCATCTACCTCTCACTCCTTTACATAATTTCTACTACTTATTTCAGGCAGTAGTTTGTGTTGGTCTTCAGAGAATAGCCCACGTCACTCATCTGTCACAAGTTGTGAAATATAAGCAGTTGCCAGTATATCAGGTGTCATTCAAATCTGTATGAATCACTTCGACCCAACTATAATTTTTCTTGTGTTTTATTCTTTACAGGTGAAATCTGTGCTTTTAAAATCCATGGACAGGAAATGCCTTTTGAAGCTGTTGTGCTAAACAAGACATCTGGAGAAGGTCGTCTCCGAGCAAAAAGTCCAATTGACTGTGAACTACAAAAGGAGTACACATTCATCATCCAGGCATACGACTGTGGAGCGGGACCTAGTGGAACAAACTGGAAGAAATCTCACAAGTGAGTGACAATAAGGGGGAAAATGCATTGGCTGTGGCATGTATTTACTCTAAAATGCAGTTCAGGTGGAAGAGCTTCTTTTAATGTTGTAGTCTGCAGGAAACAAATGGAAACCATATGCTTTATCTCTGGAATTGATTGTACACTGACTTTGTCTTTGTTTGTTTGTTTGTTTGTTTGTTTTGTAAAAACATTTCACTCAATTTGCCCTGATTTTCAGTAGTTTCAGTAGAACTGTTTTAATAAAACTACTAATCAGGTGGACGATAGTAAAATGATAGCTTTTAATTACTTTTCAATACTGAATATTTTCCCACAATAAATAGATCAGCTAAATCAGATAGTCAGAGAACTGGAAATTAAAATTTATTGGTATTTATATAACCAAACTGTGCTTAATTTATTTTTCTCTGATTTTATTCAGCTCATTTCAAATAGTTGAGAAGAGCTATGGGTAGATATAGCCCATTTTTATTTTCATTTATATGCTGCAGCTTTCTTGCCTTTGCACTAAGATTTTATTAGCCCCTAGAAGCTCAGCAGGCATGGCTGGCTCAGCATTTGGGTGGGAATCTTCCAGAGCCAGAGGCTGCGAGAAGTGTTGTTGATGGGTCAGTAGGTGGCACTCTTCACTGAGACAATACAGATCCCAGTTATGGTGCTGCCTTTGTAGGCTAAATGAAACCACTTAACACTAAAAATGAAATTTGCCCTGGTATAGAAAATAAAACTGTCATAGAAACTGCCCAATTTACTGAATAATCCATTTAAACAAATCAACAATAGACACAGTGCACTCTTTTGTTACTGTCAGATGCACAGGAATCGAAGAATTTATTTTACTTTATAATGTGAGCTGTTTCATGATCTGTTTTGGAAGTGTTTTTATAATCATTTTTTTTCTCAAGGCCAAACCTGTAAAATGGAACATGCCTCAAGTCACAGTTGATTTTGTCACAATAACAAATATGAAATGCCATTGTCTTTATCTCAAACTTCAATAGCAGTCTAGTAGTCATTAGACTTGTGGGCCAGCTGTGACCAAAACCATTACGAGTTAGTTGTGACTGGAAGTTGCTATAATTTGATGCAGGGCAGTGTGATATACTGGACTGGGCAACCGAACTGAAGCTGGGGATCTGTTCTTGCCTCTGCCACTGACCTACAGTATAAATTTGTGCAAGTCACACCACCTCTCTGGACCTCTTTTACCCTTCCATCTCTTGTCTAGTCAGATTGTGTGCTCTTTCTGCAGCAACAGTCTCCTATTTGTCAATGCTTGTCACAAAGGGGGCATTGACAAATAAACTGCTTAAGATAGTTAAGACCAAAGCAGACTGTAAAGAGCTTCAAAAAGATCTCATCAAACTATGTGATTGGAGAACAAAATGGTAAATGAAATTTAATGTCAATAAATGTAAAGTAATGCACATTGGAAAAAATCATCCCAACTATAAATATAATATGATGGGGACTAATTTAGCCATAACTTACTTAAGAGAGAGATCTTGGAGTCATTGTGGATAGTTCTCTGAAAACATCCCCTCAATGTGCAGTGGCAGTCAAAAAGGAAACAGAATATTAGGAATCATTAAAAAAAGGGATAGAGAATAAGAGAGAATATCTTATTGCCTCTATGTAAAACCATGGTACACCCACATCTTGAATACTATGTAGAATATATCTTTAAAAAAATATACAGCCTCTTCGCGACTTATGAACTGGTTACGGACCAAGCAATTGGTCATAACTCAGTTCGTTCGTAAGTCAGATCCCATAGAGTTACACGCGACCGCACTGTTTGTAAGCGCGGATGGCGTTTGTAACTCGGGGTCCGACATTTATGACAGCTTTGCTCGTAAGTCGACCATTCGCAACTCCGGGACCGGCTGTATTGGCATCGGAAAAGGTTCAGAAAAGGGCAACAAAAATGATTAGGGATTTGGAACAGGTCCCATATGAAGAGAGATTTCAAAGACTTGGACTTTTCAGCTTAGAAAAGAGGAGACTAAGGGATATGATACAGGTCTATAAAATCATGACTAGTATGGAAAAAGTGAATAAAGAAAAGTTATTTACTTCTTTCCATAAGAACTAAGGGTCACCAAATGCAATTAATAGATATCAGGTTTAAAGCAAACAAAAGGAAGGTTTTCTTCAAGCATCACACAGTCAACCTGTGGAACTCCTTGCCAGAGGATGTTGTGAAGACCAGGACTTTAACAGGGTTCAAAAAAGAACTAGACAAATTCATGGAGGGTAGGCCCATCAATCGCTATTAGCCAGGTCGATAGGAATGGCATCCCAAACCTCTGTTTGTCAGAGGTTGGAAATGGATGACAAGAGAGGGATAACTTATGATTTCCTGTTCTGTTCACTCCCTCTGGGGCATCTGGCATTGGCCACTCAGAAGACAGGATACTAGTCTAGATCAACTTTTGGTCTTACCCAGTATGGCCTTTTATTATGTTCTTATATTCTTATGCTTTTGGCTGAGCTTGCTAGGGCCTACTCTAGTTTAAGTACTAATCATAAAGATGATTGATTAGTGGTTAGCTATATGTGAAATGAGTTGGTGCTGTCATTTCAGGTCCATGTCATATCACAATCCAGCACCACACTTATTGACAATGGACTGTGTAATTGTCAGTTGCCAGAGTGGCTAAGAATTGAATCAACATGGAGCTGGAACTACATTCCCAATCTCTAGAATTGAGCCCTTCTGAGCAGGGTTGAGGCATACTGCCTTCTAGAACAAAGCTTGGCTACAGTCATGTACTATTAAGAGGAAGATGCCTGTGCCAGTGTGCATATCTGACTTATTTTTAAGTACTGTAAATAAATTCACCCCTTCCTGATCTCGGTGCAGCACCTTTCACAAGCTCTAAGAAACTGGTAAATGAACCAAGGAACCTGCAGTATTTTAAGGACTGGGTAATAATTAACTTCTGCCATGGAAAGGAGCAAGGTGATTACTTAGTTATGGGAATTATTCAAGATATCTATATTTTCAGATGGTCAGCTTCTAATAGAGTTTTGAAGGCCTGATATTCTTCTTAATGCCTTTTTTCTTTGTTTTTTAGAAAGGATTCACACCATTGACTGACTCTTGGTTTGCAGTACTGGCCAGCAATAGGAGAATTAGGCTTTTTCCATGATAACATTGTTGCACACTTTAAAAAAAGATAAATGTTTATATTAAGGTATTAAGTAGTGCAGATCAAAAATAGAAATGATACAAGAATGCTTATATGTTTTTATTTTCCAAGTAATGTTTGGTGTTAATCAATCATGTGTTTGGATAATGAACAGAAGTTGACATCTCAGATGGAGTCAAGATGAATGGATTTCGGTCTTCAAATTTTTTTTCTCTATTTTTAGGGCAGTGGTCCATATCCAGGTGAAGGATTCTAATGAGTTTGCACCTACCTTCAAGGAGACCTCATATAAGGCTACAGTGACAGAGGGAAAGATCTATGACAGTATATTGCAGGTGGAAGCCATGGATGAGGACTGTTCTCCACAGTTCAGCCAGATATGCAATTATGAAATTGTCACAACGGATGTTCCTTTTGCCATTGACAGAAACGGTTAGTACTGAGCAAGATACAATTAGGAATTTTGGGCCATGCTTTCAGCTGGTCTATATTAGTTTAGCACCAGTAATTTCTGCTGACTGTGGGTCCTGTGGGCAATGGATTTCTAAAATCCTAGTTAGAATGTTCCAAGAAGGATGAGCAATTTATCGCACAAGCCATCAATCCTCTTACAATTGGAATTTAATCCAAGGTGTTTATGAAGGCTAAAATGGTTTTAATGTGCCTTAATACTTTAGGCTCATAAATCCCATTTTCAAATACACTTAAAGGTTCCTTTGAAAATATTGCCCACAGTGCCCATTTCCTTGGCATGTAAGGCTCTGCTTCAGTAAATTACTTAACTATATGCCAAACTTTAAGCATGGCAACAATATCACCAAGGACAAGGGGAGCAGTCATTTGCTTAAAAATTGTCCCACACTCAAGAACTCTGCTAAATGCTGCCTAGAGCATCTCCTCCCAATGTTTCTGATGG